GAGGAGAAAAGTGCGACCGCCTTCGTCAAGAGCAAGAGCAGAAGTGTGTGTATATATATATATATTTAAAAACAAATGAAACTAAACTAAACGAACAAAAAGTCTAATTGAAAAATCAGCAGAAATTTTATTTTTAAAAACAACAACAAAGAGCAGAAAAAACATACCCATCTAACTGTTTGACAGAAATGTAATAGTCCTCAGAGTCCCTTGGTTTGAAGTCAATGCATGATTTCAACCTGAATTGGTCAAATGCTCTCAGAATGACTCCTTTAGAATTAATGTCTACCATTGTTGTGTTATAGAGATTAAAAGAAAAGAAGAAGATATTTTTTAGACAACCAATAAAGTTCCATGCATTTTACTCTAAGGCTATAAAGCATGCAGCTATAAATTTATTATTTTTTTTCCAGTTTTAGCAAAGGCGTGGGTGGTTGCTTTGCAAAACTATTCATTAAAGTAGCTCTGTTCACTCGCACATGCTGCTGTATTTTTTTCAATATGTGGCTTCTATGTGTCAAAAGCGTCAAGCTGGTATTCAGGTATGACATCACAAACATGTTTTTCCATAGGAATAAAGAAATAAAGATTTCTTTCAGGTGTATTTGTAAGAAAACACATATTTACCAAGGTCATTATTTAAGAGGTAGGGGACTGGAGGTGTCCATAGCATGCCTTCATTAATGATGGTACTCCTCTGCTTGCCTATTGGCTAAAGTATAAGAAACATGTATATTGTGACATAATGCAGTAAGTTACTATGCACACAGATGTTTTTAGAATAAATACATTTTTATCTTCATAACAAAGACTCACCTCCAAAATATCATCATGTAAAAATTCTAAAATACAATTTAAAAAATGAGAAACAAGTCACTAATATTCAAGTACAGTTGCATGAAGCCAAAAGAACAAAAATCTCCTTATAAAAAGGTTTAGTTATAAGTAGATGTTGAACTTTACCCTTGTTTATTTCAGGAATGTCCTTTTCTTCACCAACATCTACAAAAACAGATGAGGCACTTTTGTATACAGTTTTTTTTAATATTTTAAAAAAAAAAAAAATTCATCAAATGATGTGGAAAATTAAAAAATTAGAACTTACCCACTATTTCTAGTCCATTCTGTAAAAATATCAATATAAAATTAAAAATAAATGTACCATCATTTAACATACTGTATGTAGTACTGTGAATAAATGTTTTTTCTTTTTTTTCCATTTTAAGCTTTGATAGAAAACACACACTATACTTTTTGGTCAACATGCAAAATTTAAAAAAAAAAATTATTTTTGCAAAACCAAAATCATTGTTTTTAGCTGATATTTAATATTTAGTGTTATTGTTCAACAAACTTGATTACAAAACAAACCAGACAAATAATAACAAAAAAATCTCTTTAAGTTCTCTTTGCATATTGATATTCATGATTTCTGAAATATCACTATGCAACTAATCACTTACTGGGTTTAAGGAGAATGCTTCAGAAATTGCCATGATCACAAAAATAAAAACACATTCTTTCATCCTCATGGTGCGTCTTTGATGAAACCTAAATCAATAGAGATTCTACCAAGAATGAGGAAAAGCAATCACAAAATTAAAAATATATATAAATATTAAAGATTTATATATATCAAACTTTATGTTTGTTCTTATAGAAATATGAAACCTGTCTTTACCTTGTGCCACTCTTGTCTCTTACTCATCTGCATGTGAAGTTGTGCCTGTGACAGGAGTGTTAGAACCAGTTTTATACAACTAAAGCTACGTGCTTGACACATCAGGGAGTCATGCATATTTTATCTATTTTGGTCCTGCTTTAGCCCACGTCATCATTTCCTGTTATCTGATGTCTGTGACATTAACAAATCATGAGTATTTTTATTACTTAAAGACATTCCACTTCACACCTAGTTTTTACCAGGAAAACATGAACAACAGTTGATAACAATAATAAACTCAACATTTGACTATGAACTTTTGTCTTTTACTCTTAGTGGAGAACATACTTTTTTTATGTGTGTAATTGATAGATGGCCTAAGGTACTATATTATCTTTCATCTGTCTCTGCTGTGAAACAAATATTTTGTTGTGGGAGTTGGCTGTGGCTATGGATCTAAGTCGTCTACTTCATCAAATCTTCTGTTTTCTTTTATTTGTAAAAATGTTTAAAAAGAGGACTGATCAATGAAATCTCTCAACTTTGACTGTTTTCAGTTGTATAACAAGGCTTTGTCTGTCAGGCTTGGATGCTGCAATATTGTTCCATAATGGCCAACTCATTTCCCTGATGATGATACTTGAGTACAAAGTCTACAAAGATCTTTTCAGCTCCAGTTTTTGCTGACTTGTTGGGTGAAATGATCCATAGCAACTACAATGTACTTATATCCTCCATTACAAGCTTCCAGATCCAGATCCAGTGATTCTCTGTTCGACTTGTTTGCAGCTTTCTGTTCCAGGCAGCTAATGATCAATAATCCATATCTCTTTGCATATGTGTTATTTATCATGCTGAGTGTCTGTTCTACTCTAAGATGACACTGTGGATTTTATGCACTTGTGTTCTACATCCAGGGCTTCCAGAATATTACATCTCCTGGAAGTCACAATATACCAGTCACAATATTCAAAAATGGTAGTTAATGAAATTAATTATCAATATAATCCATAGTTACTTGTTGTATTTAAAAGTTAAACTTTAAAGTGTTGATTTTAATTGTGACCATGACTTACTGCTATGATAAAGACTATTTAACTTAGACAGTAGGACGTTATTTCAAGGATTTTCCAGGATTGCTTACTATCATAATGTCACCCTCCATTAAATCCAGGCTTGAAGGAAGATGGGGTATTACACTTGTTACGGAAGCTACAACAACAACAACAACAACAACAACACACTCTTGCTCCCAACTCTCAGTCTGATGCCTGGTCAGGAATCCCTTATCAATTTTCACCAACTCATTTTTCTGATTTGTTCTTCTTCAAGCATGGAAAATTAACAGGGTGTAAACAAGTAAACAGTAAAAGTTAGAGCAATCAGAACACAAAATAACTTGTTAATTATAGTCTGACAAAGATAATACAAGAAGTTTCCTTGTATATTATGATAAAAGGATAAAACCATTTGCCACACACTGAGTAAGGACATGTTCAGCCTGGACAGTTGTTCTGTGAGGAAGCATTCAGAAAGCGGCTACTTTATCACAGTTCTGCTTTATAAAATTGAAATGTGTCTAAAAGACAATCAAACAATATTTTTTTACTGCCAGATTCTGACTAATCTATTACTGGCAAGTAATAGATTAGCTAATAGATTAGC